CCGTGACTAATAATATCTTCAAACAATGCTTTCAATAACACTTGAGCAACTTCTGTGGAGTCTGCAAAAAGAGGTCCAACTCTGTAGCCTTCTTCATTTACATACAACACTCTTGCAGCAACATAACCAACAATAGCTCCTTCATCAGTGACAACCACCTTAGCGTGACGTCCCTTGGCATGGAGCCACTTTAATATGAAGTTGTTTCTTTGGTAGCCAAAAACGGCCGTGTCGTATCTTAAGAGGACTTCTTGGTCAACTTCATTGATATTTTTAACGCTCAAATCGGGGTTGAAGGTCATTGCTGTTAGTATTTCTAAAGCCTTTGATATATTGACGTCGTATCCTTTGCACATCCAGCGAAACTCAAAGCCGTATCGTGCGTACTTGTTTACCATTTCTGGAACACTGTATGCAGACACAATCTGTGACCAATCTACCTCACTCATGGCGGTGTTAAATAGCTTCATTCCATAGCCCTTTCCTTGGTATTCCTTTTTCACAATGAATATTCCAAATGAATAATAAGTACTACTGTACTTATAAAAGCACACGGATCCAATAGGAACACCGTCCAGTTTCGCCACGTATACTCCAGGATCGTCCAACGATAAATAACATTCAAGGTCTTCCAAACCTGGTTTCCATTTTAGCGCAGCCATCTCCTCATTGATAAACTTAATAGATGAAGTATCTGTTTTGGCAAGCTTGCATATCAAGAGACTCATAYTCCGGCCACGATGTACTAGCTAGCTCTGTGTTCGTTTAGTAGCAAGCCGATCAACGATACAGGAGGCCCAACGAACTAGCATCATGCTCAACGAACTAGTCCTATAGTCACGTAATATATTTTATGTCCGAGCAGGAGGCTGGGTTCGAGTTTTAAAATTTCAAAAAATTGTCAAGAGCACATCAAAATTGAGAATATCCCCAAGTTTGATTTAGTTCAGATAACTATCTAAGAACTTGAAGCTGTTCAAAAATGTTAAAATTTACAAAGGACCACAAAGGAATGAACAGATTGTGAGTAAAGCATTCCCCCACAATCTAATGTACATTTGAATAAGAGAGTTTTTAAATGACTATAATTTTTGAAATGTAGACTCGATTTATACCGAACTTTGGTTTTTAATTGATTTATATTTGCTCTTTCAGATAATGTAGGTCACACACCGATGATTTGTGCAATTTTAAAACTTGTACCCAGTTTCCTGCTCCTATGGAAATTGGCAATATGCAGTTTCGAATCTGTAAGGCCGGCATCGGTATTCATTGATTGATCATCTAGACTGAATACAGAAGTACAACAAAGAGAGTCCTGAGCTAGCAACGTAAATTTACGTCTTGGAATTGGGGGGAAATCCATATAATTGATTGATTGTCGCGAAAACGGCACGAATTATAAATTCCTACTCTGTAAAAGAGAGCTGTAGCTGCACCTCAACAAACGACACCGCGGTACGTCAAAGCCCTTACTAAATCGAGTCGTATTATTATGAAGAGATCTACTGTCAGCTACAGCCGTTAATAGGCTATTTTGTAGAATAGGCGTTTCACAGTTCATCACGAATCATTTACGTCGACTTTACTTATTGTACATACATGTTGTATAGTTACGTATTTCATCAATTTTGTGGATCATCCCAGTCCCAATGTGAAAAAAGCTCTATCAAAATTTTTCAACTAAAACCGTCAAAGAACGAGGCTATCAAATTCATAATGGCCTTGGCTAAGTCATCGCCAAAATACTTATTGCGGCTACCATTAAGCAATGTAGCAAACTATAGTTAATACAGGAAACATGAGCAAGCTTTAACTATATACAAACGCGTCAGAGTTCCCACTGGAGATTCATTTACTTTTACATTTATTTGATTTGACTTTGGAATGCAATTTAGTTTCGATTTAACTTATTTTTTGTTGTATAAATTTTATAAAATTCGAATTTCTTTGCTGTTTTTGCTATGGCAGCACTGGGTCGCCATATATATCTATGAAGAGATAAAGCAGATTCAAAACTCACCTCATTCGTCGTTCCCTTATAAAGATTGATAAACTGTTCAGTCCGCAGCTTAGTATTCGACTTGAATAGCTGTCGATGACTCGGCTTTCAGCTCGAAGAACTCATCTGGACATCATCCAGTGATGATGACGTGATGATCATTTCTGCCAACATCCGTGTAAACAATTTCCTGTTTGTATCAATGCTTATCATAACCAAATCACGCGAGCGGAGTTAAGCATCTACGTGAAATTTCCTTGCCCGCTAATTCCTYACACACAATCGTGTTATTGGACGTAATCTCTCTCTGTAATATGTGGGCGACTGACTTACGTCATAACCATTGACGTTTTATACGGTACCGGATCTTTTTATTCTTAAAACATTTATTTGGATGTTTTCCTTTTAAATCTGCACTTACTACAAACTATTTTTAACATTAGGTCATTGCTATTTTGAAGTATTAGGAAGGTACATGTCACACAGTCACTCTCCAAAATAAAATAACCCAGATTTTCTAATTGATGGCTGCACTATACAGCTTTTATTTGATCTTTTGTCAATGATGGCTGATTTTACAGCTTTTTTATCTCACATATATTTTTCACCACCACTATATTCCTATATACATTGTCGTTAGAGTGCATTATACAATCCCCTTTTTAAATGCCGATCTATTGCCAGCCTTGTATATGGTGCTGCCCTGGAAATGTCCCAAGAACCTCCTTAACTCGATTATTTGTCTTTAACAAAGGTACCTACACACTTGTTTTAAACTCGCCCCCATCAGTTGCTAGCTAAAGTTTATCCAAGGCAGCCAGAAAAAGTTCTCAATTGATTCTTCAGAATCTCCTCACGGCTGAGGAGAGCTAAACTGAGTAAGATATAGACTCATAGAAACCGTCTCAGATAATCCTTCATCATGGTTGCTTTCTTGTTCTTTTTACTCTTCATTATTTATTTCAAGTATGTGATAATTCTCTTATAGTGATTTCTTTTTTTTGGTTTGTTTCTTTGTTTTTCTCTTTCTAATTTTAATTGCAATCCATTGCCCTACCGTAATGGAATAATAATCATTTGTGATATATGTAGGTTTTTTTTTAAATGATAATAATTGGAATTGAATTTGAGCGGAAGTCCTTCTTTCTTTATCAGTGCGATTAAATATACGAGGTCATGACATTAATTATTTCTAGGTTTTGTCAAACCGGTGACACATCGTTTGCTGTATGATAAACCTCGTGAGAGAAAATGCGACATGGTACATTTGCCACAAGACCTCTGATCATCAAACACTTCCCTGCCGAACTGCGGTCCTGAACCCACGAGCAAATCTGGTTGACCGCATAGGTGTGACTTACAAATCTGAAAAGCCACAAATGCAAAATTAAGTACTACAAATCTTTTCATTCAAAACTAACGACTCTTTATCACCTACAAATTTACACTAATTGAATGAAAATGGCCTTGCAAAGTTGATGATTCGACCTCTACCAGTGTTGGGCTGWCAGTCATAGAACAGCCTAGACCGAAATACCGGGCATTGAAACCAAAGTAGGTAAAGGAAGGCGGCAAGAAAAAAGTAAAACATAATAAAAAAGAATGCAAAAAAATCCTAAGAATTCTTGAAAATCAAGTGAAATGGGAAATGAYAGATAGCGTTTAATAACATTTCCCACATTCTCTGTGAGAGCGCACAGCTGCCCTTTTGCTTGGACGTAAYTAATCACTTAAATCTCAGCAACTAAACTTACTGTTTTCCATGAACGATGACGAAGTGAAGTAATTCTTTTTGCGGATCTCTAGATCTCGCTCTCCCTCTTTCTTYCGCTGTACTTTAATTTGTTTATTCTAAATTTTGAGCATTTTCAGAGCAGCGGCTCTTTTCTAACTAACCTTACCGGACTTTTTCTACCTGAGATCGGCTATCGTAACGAGCGTGTATATTGGTTTAGGGCTGCGAGTATAGTCGTATTACCGTACAAATGCGTATTAAATCCCGATATACAGCATAGAGTCAGCATAAAATTATCGCAAATTTCCGCACATCGGTCTTCGGTTAAAGTTTAAAATCTCCTTATCATGCAATGCTAAGATTATCTCGAAACACAGCAAATCTTTCTCCGTAATACCGAGTATTTCAGAACCCCTTTATGTCACAAAACACATGACCAGAAAAAAAGAGGAACTGGTCCGTTGCGTTAGACTGAGTTCCGCCTGATATCAACTTCATCGTCAGTAGGTCGAGCAGATTTCGTATGACTGTGCAAAAAACACGGTACTTTCGCGCTGTGACCGTACCGTGCCGTTGCGGTGATGTATTGTTAAATCTTTATTTTTATTTGGAATCCTAGAGGGCCGCGAAGTTCCGTGACCGTGCCGTGCCGTGTTGTGATCCGTGTCCTTGCACAGTCATACGAAATCCGCTATATGCAAATAACATGACTCCAATATAGACGATTTTATAAAGCTAAGTTGTACCGGCGCGCGCGTTTATCTCCGTTTTAAGTGACCAAAACGACACGAGAATTTGAGAAATCTTACTATTTTTACACTCATTAGCTATTAGCGCGATTTAAGTTAATTAAGCAATAAATTCCAATTCGAGTGCAAGTCACATCGTCAGTTTTCGCACACTATTTGGCTTGGATTTGTTATTACACCTCAGCGCAAACGTTTCTTGTACGCTAATGAATGCAATCAAATCTACTTCTATGTACTCATGTACTTATCGTTGAAGTAATAAATTGTATCCGTATCAGTTTACGTATGAATGTATAGACTATATGAAAAAGGGCGTGGCTGCCTGTTGAAAGAACACATTGCAATGAATAAGACCTGAAAGTTTCGATCAATGCTCTAACATTTAAGGACCAAAGATTACAGCTTATAGTCTTCTAATAAGATTACAGATTATAGAATTCATTTCCGGTCGGTGAAGCAGCACATGGCTGCCCTGACAATACAAACTTGACTTTTTGTCATTTCAAAGAAAAGTGATTTTCCAATTAAAATCATGGTTATAATGCAAAAGTTAAAGATATAAATGTGAACAATAGTCTCCTTCACGGTTACCTTCGCCATCTTGAAAGGTAGCCGTGCCTTTGCATCGAAGCGAGACAACCGTTGAGCGTGCAATGACAGATACCTCTGAATAATTGTCTGTAGGTGTGAAAGAAGGTTTCTATCATTGCACGCTCAACGGTTGTCTCGCTTCGATGCAAAGGCACGGCTACCTTTCAAGATGGCGCAGGTAACCGTGAAGGAGACTATTTGCATTAGATACCGCAATATAAAAACGATTGTCACGATTTCATCCATTAGATACCGCAATATAAAAACGATTGTCACGATTTCATCCAAATATCAGTCATCATTATCCGCCAAATACGCACGGATCTCGCATAGAGATAGGCAATTTAATTTTAATAAAATTTAATTTAAGTGATAGGGAGCTTAACTAAGCTAAAGTTTAAGTCTTATTTTTGAATTCTGACAGCCCGGAAGCATATTAAAAACAGTTCTAGTATACTAAATTAATACAAAATCAAACCTTAAATAAAATCAAAATATCAATTATGGCATTTTATATGTTAAAAACGTTTTTTATAAATATCAAAATATATTCTCTATATAAAAAAACGTTTTCAATAAAATTTTTAAGGTGCAAAATGCAAATCACAAGATCGGCAAAAAAAAGTCACCAAAAGGTGCTATTTGCTTTATATGACTTGATATTTTTCCTGTTTCAACCTCTTTCAAGTGCGTGGAATTGGAGTGACATCTGTATAAGCAGTCAATATAATATTTAATACAGTCCTTGTTTAGACGGTTAACTGCTAATTATGGTTAGGTACATAATCACTGTAGTAAATATCCGCTCTTACTACTGATTGTCATGAATAAGCCATCAAACGGGATATAAGATGGTGGTTTGTTGCAAAATAGCAATTAAATTGGACATTGTAGAAGTCGACACTCAAGAGATACCAAACAAAAGAACACTATTCCTTTAAGGTATGTGCTTTTCATTTTCTTCATACATTTTCGGTTTCAAATGGAAACTCAAGTGCTGTAAAACGCGGTATACACTAGCCTGAGTATTATATTGAGTAGTCTTTAATTCTTGCCAGTGTTAACAGACAWTATTTCTTGCGTGTGATCGAGTATTGCCACAATTGTTGCCATAATGAAAAAATGCCATAAAAATTGCCGGGTTTTTAATCTACTTGTTATTRTACGCGGGGTCATGCTCTAGTTCATGATCAAAGGAAATGATGAGAATTTCAGAAATGGCTTCAAGTAAATTCTAGCAAAGTTCGCCTAACCCTGTCAATAATGCGCGGTCTCAATATATCTGACGGATATACTGTGGAACATGGGTTCCTGGAGTAGTAATAAAATATTATGTTTAGTATTCGGTTAAATTCAATTCATTTTCTCCCAACTCTCTTTAGATGAAGTATGCAGCAGTAATTTTGTTGTCTTTTGCTGTGATGTTGGCCCTTCTACCTGACGTCACCCAAGGATTGAGCAACTCCCAACGATGTATGATTGGCTGTAAGCAAAGGACTGCACTTTGCTTTATATTTTGCCATGGGAGAATTAAGTGTAATAGCTGTTTAAGGTCGATAGAGAAATGTCGCCTATTGTGCTACTGAGAAAACCGTTCATCGTTTTATTTAGCTGATGAGCACATGCAGTTTGCAATAATGAAAAACATGGTTGCAATATTAAGATTAGAGTCAAAATAAACATATATACCAAGTTCCTGCTTGATAAGTTATCATCTCTGCTGTCCCTTCTGAGGAGCATATCGACAGGTTTCGCGTATTTTTCTGTACACACCGTTTCTCGCTATTGCAATCAATGAAAGTTTTAGACAACTTCTGCAACTCCTTGGAATAACGTTTCGTCCTTCGTTTTGTCGTCGTTCTAGAGTGCRAGCTAAGCATTTGACTAGCTGATTTAGCGATATCTATAATTCATGTAAATATGAAAWTTTTGTCTAACGGATGATGTGGATTTAGCTCTTAATTAAGGCGTAATTTGCGATTTTTATTGACATCTCCCCCTCCATTTATCTTTCATCCATTCCCATGACCTGATTCAAAAGATAAAAGACCGGTGGCCATATGTTAGAGGAATGAACAATAGATACTAATGATAAATCCTTTGTTAAAGTTCCTCCAAGATGGCCGCYATGACGTAACCTGAATAAGTAACGAAGAATATTTACTATATCAGTGATATAGATATCGGTAAATCAGCTAGTCAATGCTTAGCTTGGGTTGCCTGTGGCAAGTCTATGCTATTTCAATTCGGACATCTATTGCCATCTCATTGCTACATTTATTTCTGTATCCTTCCACTAGTACAATGTCACACTGCATAGTCACCCGTTTGTTTGTTGGTTTCTACCCAACCCCAGAAACATTGTAACACTATTGTAGCGCATGACGCAATCTGTAGCTGGAACAATCCTTGCTTCACAAGAAACAATATACCGCGCTATACTTCATGTTTAGCCTTTTCCTATAACAAACTGCTGCATAAATTCCAAATTTAATCCAGTGAGTAAACCTATATTTATATAAAGTTTCGGTTAAAAGAATTCAACATACAGCTTAGAGCGGATTTTTCAATTTATTACAGCTTTTTTCAGTTACACCTTGCAACCCATTGCAAAACCAGTCAGCTTATTTTCTTATTAAACTCATTTCGTTCCGTTATCGTATCTTTGTAAGCAGAATAACTGACCGAGTGATTTGTATTCACTATCATGATTGATGGTTTAAAAATTCCCAACAAACACTTCATCATCGTCATCAACTTTTCGCTTTGAGAGAACCTAAAAAAATAGGAAAGAGTTGGTCACATCATAGTTAATAGGGGAATGGTTTGGAAAYCTTTTGTATGCACTTTGAAGTTGAATCAGTAAAGACCGTGCACAATTTGTTTCTTAAGGACGATGGAAATTACAAAATGAGTGAACATAAACACCCTCTATGAGATTATGAAATGAAATATTCCAACATTGGTTAAAACATTATATGCATTATGAAGAAATAGTCAAAAGATTAATGTTCATTCAGATGTGAAAAGCATGGCTAAAACAATAGTAAAACAAAAGTCTGTGCACGGTAACGCTTGGAAAAAAGTGCGGAAAAACCTACAACAAAAGACTTTACCATTTCCCTCTACAAACTATGGTCACATTGAGTTTTATCAGTAACAGCTCGTATGATTTCTGAAGTACGCCGATGTCACTTTCAAAACGCTGTCGATATTATAGGGCAACTTAAGAGAGACTCGTGAGACGCTAGAGGAATGAATGAAAATCTGTTGCATTTTTAAGCGATTGTTTTTCTTTTAAGT